GCTTATTTTTCATTAGAATCTTTCCATGAAATGAAAAATTGCCCCTAAAAGTTATTCTTAATGGTACAGAATATTTAATTAAATAGATACACCAAAATTTACTGAAATAATTCACCTCCTATTTTACATTTAGGTTGTTTCCAGTTTTTCACTCTCATGAATAATAGTGTGGTGATTAGCTTTGTGTATAAATGTTTGTCCATACTTTTGCTTATTTCCTTAATTCATATTTCCAGAAGTATAATTACCAGGTCAAAGGATATCCTTGTGCAATTTTTAAAGAGCTCATATTCCAATACTTACGGCTTTTTTCCACAAATACTTTGCCTACAGGATGGCTGACGCCAGTGGGTGCAGTGAATATAGACTGTTGTTCTGGAATAGTTTGCTCATCAGTAATTATGTCTTCATCTTCTATTCCTAGCTCATTGGCATACTGTAATTCTGCTGGCTTGGTTTTCCTGTAATAAGGGAATATATAAGAGAAATGGATGATTATTGAATTTTTACAGGCCCACATAAGGAACTACCTATAAATACAATGGAAAGAGTCCTGAATATAGTCAAGAAATTTGGTTTTTATTCAAATGTATCTGAGCAGCAGGTATGTGCAGCAAGTTGCCTATATTTCTGTGGGCCTCAGTTTTCTTATATGGAAAATGAAGTGACTAAACTAGATCTATAAGGTTCTTTCCAAATTTAAAATTATATGATTTTATATAGATACTATTTGTAGGGTCATTTTCAAATACAAACAATAGTGTTATATAAGTTTCACTGTACTTCTTTAAAGTATGTCATTCATTTTATCTTAATTTCCTATGCTAAAATAGACAGTTTTACCTATTGCTGAAATAATCATAATTTGAACATATTAACGTGAGAAAACAAATTATAATGGCCTATTTTATTATCTTTGGTTTTTAATATCCTTAATATCTAATTTTTTTGCTACTTATATAAAATCTTCTATCTGTCCTATTCTTTTTTTAGATATAACTAAGATTTCTTATTTAAGTACAATATTAACTTTTTTATTTTTTCAATGGTTCATTCTTTTAAAAGTTATCATTAGAGTAGTTAACCTAGTATTTTGTAAAACTACTTATCCTAGAGATATAAAGCTATGAGTATTCAATAAAACTTAATGAGAAGCTACTGTTTGGGAGCTTCAAATGAAGTATCAGAGTAACCCTGGAGAATAGTTAGAAGGATAAATAAACTCTTACTTTCTCTTTCTTCGAGGTTTTTGAATAACTGCCTCCTCAGCTGGCTCCACATCAATACCATTTTCATTTCGTAATAAAGATGGACTAGACACCTTCTTTTGGGTGAAAGACGTCTCCAATTCTGAAAATAAAATAAATTAAGTTTTCAAATGACTAAAACATAAAAAGTAATGTACCAGACTTTTGCAAGACAAGAGAACTTGAAGAATTTTAATTGGTGCCCATCTCTATTGGTATGAGGGAAAAAAAATTTTTAAAAAAGAATTTTAATTGGGCAAAATTTTTTTCACTACCTCACAAATTTTAAAAATTTTACACCTCTAAACTTTCAACATAAAATGTGCAATTACAATGCCAAACAATAAGAAAAAAATTAAGTAATCCAACACCCAGGGTGTGTTAAAGATCCCCAAGATTACCACCAGGTTCAGTGATTTGCTAGAAGGGCTCACAGGACTCAGAAATCATTACATTCACAGGTACGGTTTACTAGAGCAAATGGATATAAAGTAAAGTCAGGAAAAGCAAAAGCACATGGAACAAAATCCAAAGGAAACCAGGTACAAGCTTCCAAGAGAACTCTATCAGTGCAGTCAAAGAGGATGCACTAATCCTTCAGCAATGAGTTGGGACAACACATTACATATGTTCTACCAGGGAAGCTCATTAGAGACGCAGAGCCCAAGGTTTTCACTGGGGGCTAGAGTCACATAGGGTTAGCACATAACAAAATTCCAGATTCCCAGAAGAGAAGCAGATGTCCAGCAAAAATCATATTGCAAGTTGCAAATGCACCGTGAGCCACTTCATAACTTAGGGAAAGTTTTATAACAGTATAGGGAGCTGCTTACCATCAAGTTCCCAGACACCGGTCAGTGCCAATCTTGTAAGCAGGCCTTTCTAAGGATAACAATCTCAGGCCTGCTATGTTAACTCTTTTCTGAACTCAGGGCAGATATTAAGTTTAAATACGTCAATGGAGCCTTCTAACCCACTAGCAACTCTTCCTAACCTGGAAATACTGGCTCCCCAGAATGCCCTCGAACCTCTAGAATTCTATTTTAATAAAATATTTACAGCCTTGCCTGGAAATATAATGCAACCAGTAAAGCCTACCATGGTCACCCTGAACAAAATAAAACTCAAACGAAATTTTAAAATCCAGAAATTTAGAAAGCTGAAATTGCAAGGCTTGGTGTATTATGAAAAGGCAGTGACAGACAGGTCCTTTTTGGTCCAAAACTTAGTTGGGTGCTGAATTTTCTAAAAAAAGGTCAAGTCATTTCTGTAAAGACATTTTTCACAAATTATAAAAGGTATTGGTATCCATCTTGATTTTAAAATTTGTACCCTAACTAAATTACTAAAAGGGTAGTC